CCCATGCCCCAGCTCCATGGGCTCCCCTGCCTCCCAGCGCAAGGACATCGGCCGCTCCGAGTCACTGCGCGTGGTCTCCCGCCCGCACCGCATTTTCCGGCCCTCCGACCTCATCCACGGCGAGGTGCTGGGCAAGGGTTGCTTTGGACAGGCCATCAAGGTACTGCCCCCGGGCCCTCCCCACTCTGCTGGAGCCCAGGCCCATGCCCCAGCTCCATGGGCTCCCCTGCCTCCCAGCGCAAGGACATCGGCCGCTCCGAGTCACTGCGCGTGGTCTCCCGCCCGCACCGCATTTTCCGGCCCTCCGACCTCATCCACGGCGAGGTGCTGGGCAAGGGTTGCTTTGGACAGGCCATCAAGGTACTGCCCCCGGGCCCTCCCCACTCTGCTGGAGCCCAGGACAGCGGGCAGGCCCCTCGGGCCTCCGTCTGGCTGGCAGTGCAGGGCCCTGGCCCTGGCCCTGGCGGCAAGTCCCCAGGGGCTGCTGAGGGAAGGGAGGGCCTGTGTCCGCTGCCGCTTGTCCCCCAACATCCGGCCCTTCCCTGCCAGGTGACGCACCGGGAGACGGGCGAGGTGATGGTCATGAAGGAGCTGATCCGCTTTGATGAGGAGACCCAGCGGGCGTTCCTGAAAGAGGTGAGTCCTGCCAGTCCTCTGGCAATAGGCCTGCCTCCCTCACCCGCCCAGAGCATCGGGGCCCGGCTCCTAGGGCCCAGGAGGCATTTTCCTTGTCCGAAGGGGTCCTGGCACAAGGACGGTTGAGCCCCTGGCCTGGACAAACTGACTGGAAGATGCCCGCAGTGGCGCTCAGCCCGGCTCTGCTCCGTGTGCTCAGCACCCTTTGGACAGTGGCGGAGAGGGCGCTAAAGCCAGGGGCCGGGAGGGGCTGCATGTGCTTCATGGCTGGGTCAGAATTCAAACTGACCTGGACAAAGTGGAGCACTGGTCTGAGGTCGGGGGAGGGGAGTGTGCCAAGTGCCACATGCTGCGCTGAGGGAGGAACAGTCGGTTTCACACGTACAGAAGGGGAAGTGACCAAGCCCTGCAGAAGGGGATCTTGGGGTCAGAGGACCACAAGCAACACGAGTCACCAGTGTCACGCTGTTGCAAAACGTTGTGCTGGGCTGTGTTAACGGGTGTTGTAAGCGAGACACAGGCGTGGCCGCTCTCTGCCGCGCGCCGGTCTGGAGAAGGTCCAGACGACAATGAGGAAGGGTCTAGAAAGCAGGGCCTAGGAGGGAAGCCTGAGGAAACTGGGCTTGTTTCGTCTGGAGAGGGAGGCTGAGCAGGGGCAGAAGCCTTCGCAGGTCAAAGAGTGTTACGAGGAGGAGGCGCGAACTTGTTCCTTAACCACTGAGGATGGGCTCACGCTGGGGCTAGGGGTGCAGGGAAGAGCTTTGGAACTGCCGGGTGGTCAAGCACGGAGCCAGTGGCCTCTGTGGAATCTCTGTCCCTGGAGGTTTGAAGAGCCGGCTGGACGGGCTCTGGGGTCGGTGTCCCTGGGGATGGCCGGAGTCAGGCCATCCTTGATTCTTCCTCGGGCAGGGGCTGGACTGGGACCTCTTAGGGCGGCATGAGACCACGAAGCCGTGGCTGCTCAGGCTTGCGGATGGCATATAGCTCAGCAGCAGAGGGCAGGGCACTGATCTGGCGCCAGCTAGCACATGGGACACAAGCAAAGTGTGTTAGGGCAGCCAGACGCCAGGTCTGTAAGGGGGATCCCAGCCGAGCTGCCCCGGGAGCAGCCCCTGGGATAACCTGCCGCACAGGCTGCCAGCACAGTGCTGGGGCTAAGAGGCCTGGTGTGACCCTGGGAGCGGAACGGGAATTGCGACGTTTCTTCTGGGTTCGACAAGGGGATCACACGGCGGGTTGGTAGGTCAGAGCGGGTCAGCCCAAAGGTCTGTCCAGCCCAGGGTCCTGTCTGCCCACGATGGCCAGTGCCAAGTGCTCCAGAAGGAGGGAATCCTCACGTGATCCCTCCCGTCACCCACTCCAGACCAACAAAGGCTCAGGACACCATCCCTGCCCATCCTGGCTCACAGCCGTTGATGGGCCTAACCTCCATGAATCTAGCTAGCTCTTTTTTGAGCCCTGTTAAAGTCCTGGCCTTCACCACATCCTCTGGCAAGGAGTTCCACAGGTTGACTGTGCACTGAGTGAAGTCAAACTTCCTTTTGTTTGTTTGAAACCTGCTGCCTATTGATTTCATTTGGTGACCCCTAGTTCGTATGTAATGGGAACAAGTAAATAACTTTTCCTTATTCACTTTTTCCATATCTGTCATGATTTTATAGACCTCTGGCCTATCCCCCGTTTGTCTCCTCTTTTCTAAGCTGAAAAGTCCCAGTCGCTTTAATCTTTCCTCACCTGGGACCCGTTCCAAACCCCTCAACATTTTAGTTGCCCTTCTCTGAACCTTTTCCAGTGCCAGTATAATTTTTTTAGATGAGGCAACCACAGCTATACGCAGTATTCAAGATGTGGGCGTACCATGGTTTTATACAGAGGCAATAAGAAATTCTCTGTCTTATTCTCTATCCTCTTTTTGACTGCCACTGCACACTGAGTGGATGTTTTCAGAGAACTAGCCACAATGACTCCAAGATCTCTCTTGAGTTGTAATAGCTAATTTAGTCCCCATCATTTTGTAGGGATAGTTGGGATTATGTTTTCCAATGTGCTTTACTTTGCATTTATCAACATGAACATTCATTTCCATCTTGTTACCCAATCACTTAGTTTGGTGAGATCTCTTTGAAGCTCTTCACACTCTGCTTTGGCTTAACTATCTGGAGCGGTTTGGCATCATCTGCATATTTTGCCAGCTCCCTGTTTCCCCCTTTGTCCAGATGATTTATGCGTAAGTTGAATAGGGTGGGTCCCAGGACGGACCCTTGTGGGGCCCCACGAGTTTCCTCTCCAGTCTGAGAATTGACCATTGATTCCTACCCTTTGTCTTCTGTCTCAGTCCCTCTTAGCCCGTGACAGCTCGCTTGACGTAAGAGCCTTGCGGGAGGGACCTTGCCACAGGCTTTCTGGAATGAGTGGAGGAGTGAAAACTGGCCTGTTAGAGACTGACACTAGCAGCCTAAGGGAGGGCAGGCGAGGGGGCTGCTGAGCCCAGTGTGCCAGGGAGCAGCAATGGGTCTAGTGAGCAGGAAGCTGAAGCTGGGTAGGGCTGGGTTAGAAACAAGCGAGGAGCTCGCCTGGCTGGTGCGGGGGCCGGTCTTCAGAGCGGACGGGCTGCCCTGCTCTGGGGGCAGGTCTCCACCTGGGCTCCACAGGGCTTGGACTAGATGGTCGCAGAGGCCCCGCTCTGAACAAGGCACTTTGGCTCCTGTAGGTGAAAGTGATGAGGTGCCTGGAGCACCCCAACGTGCTAAAGTTTATCGGGGTGCTGTACAAGGACAAGAGGTTGAATTTCATCACCGAATACATCAAAGGGGGAACCCTGCGCGGCATCATAAAGAACATGGTGAGCAGGGGGGCTGCCCCAGCCTGGAGCTCCACTCTTCCCTCGGGCACCTGGGCCACAGTTCGGTTGGGGCATAACGTCCAAGATTGCTCATGGCCCTGTTGGCATAACATGGGTCACGGGCAGTGGGGCCGGGCAGGCTGGGCCATGGCCCGTGGAGTGGGGCCGGGCTCTCCCAGGACCGGGCAGGCTGGGCCGTGGCCCGTGGAGTGGGGCCGGGCTCTCCCGGGGCCGGGGAGGCTGGGCCGTGGCCCGTGGAGTGGGGCCGGGCTCTCCCAGGACCGGGCAGGCTGGGCCGTGGCCCGTGGAGTGGGGCCATGCTCTCCCAGGACCGGGCAGGCTGGGCCGTGGCCCGTAGAGTGGGACCGGGCTCTCCTGGGGCCGGGGAGGCTGGGCCGTGGCCCGTGGAGTGGGGCCGGGCTCTCCCAGGACCGGGCAGGCTGGGCCGTGGCCCGTGGAGTGGGGGCGGGGTCTCCCGGGGCCGGGGCGGGTGGGCGC